TTCAAAAACATAACAGCTATTTTTTTTGTTACTCCTGAAAAGTTTGGTTTTTTTTTCTCTCAGGACAATAGTCGTCTCTACTGATGCCATACTTTTATTTATTTGTTATTCATTGTATAAAGTCAAAGAAATCCCAAACCCAGAATTCTAAGGACAGTCTTTATTTAAACCACTTACTACTTTGAAAAGGCACATGTGGGAGCATTAGGACTTTGTGTAGAGCCTCATTGTAAAAAATGAAGTGTTAGCATTTATTGTGGAGAACCAAAATGAAAATGATGCATGTATGTATAAGAAATATGTGTGAGTTAATGCTTCAGTATTAATCTCTGATGCCTGGTGACAGAACTGATAATTTTTTTTCTGGTTCAAAAATAATATACTTTAATTTTTAAGAATTTTAAATTTAAGAATATCACATTTGTGTAACAACCTAACACTGTACAATTCTTTTTAATAGGATCTGCTGCTGCCAAAAGCTCTAAGGAGGCTGAGGACATAGTATGGACTTCTAGTGGAAGTGATTTTTCAGATGATGAAAATAAAACATTGATTGCGAGGTTACACAACAAAAAAAGTCATGCTTCCGAAGCAGAGAAATCGCCTAGCAGAGACGATTTATTGTTAGAGGACAGTAGTAGTGCAGGTAAGTTCAAACGCAAGCAGATTTGTCAAGAAACCTTCTGTCAGCTTCAAGTGCTGTAATGAAAGTTCTTTGAGGTTATTCTGACAAAATGACATGATCTAATCCTTTTTTGCTTAAATCAGTTGGCGTTTTTGTCAGTTTCATCTGAGTATGGAATAAGGTCTTAGTATAAATTATGTACAAAAATTTTAAACCCTGGAGTAAAGGAGCATGGTTGGGCAGGTTATGCATTGAGAAAAGCATGTCAGTTCAGTATATTACAGTTTATTTGTACCATCTCCTTATCTGTGCTGTGGTACAGATACTGGGGTTGTGAGCAGCTTTTTCTGCACACCCTGTTCTGCTGGTGATATTGCTGTCCGCATCTACTGACCCGATGTGGCAGACTTTGCAGCTGCAGATGGCATCGTGTTCTGTGGCATGAGTTTTCGTTCCGGTACACAGTATTCCTTGTTTCCCCTGTTAGCTGTATTGCGCAAGCAGTCATGAGTTTTGTTCTTAGCATTTGCTTTCTGATTCATGGAGCAGGGGATGACAGAGAGGAGAGAAATTGATTAGAAAGTGTGGCTGAAGACAGAAAAATCTTTACTTGTGTGCTGCATTACATAAGCTTTAATTAAGATAATGTTTAATTTGCATTAGGACTTGTTAGGAAGTATTTTCAGTGTGACTACTTCCAGAAAAATAAATGAGGTCAGCTTTGTAATACTTCAGCTAGATCTGAAGTATTACAGCTAGACTTTGCATCCTGGATGCCTGGCAAAATGTTCAAACACCACTGTGAGTTGATTCTTTCATCCATATCTTTGTCATTGATTTAACACTGTCATTGACATATCTGATGGTCATCTTTTGCAATTCCTCATAATTCTTTCCTTATTTTTGAAATGGAAGGACTGTCCATTTTCTAGACTGCAATCTAATACTCACCAGGAATCTTGCTATCCTGCCATTAATATCATTCTATTGCACTTGTCTCCTGCAACTGTATTCTGCAGGTTTTAATCTTTAATTCTCATTTTCTAAGAGACAACACACAGAGTTATTTTTAGTCTTGTAAGATAACAAAATTTGGTTTCTCTGTATAAATGAAGAAACCCTGACACATTATGTACCTGCTCAAAGGTACTGAGGAAATCCAATAATTTCCTGTTTTTCTTCTAAACCCAAAAATGTATTGAAAGCAGTGGGGAGTAAAAGAACTGTGACTTCCATGCTTTTTCAAGTAACCATTGTATACGGTAATTATAGTGTTGTACATAAGTATCAGTGTGTTTGCATATATAGGTACAGGTGTAAATAGGAGGGTAATAGCTGAGAACGTATTTTTAGAAGTAACATGCCCTTTCACATGAAGCTCACCTTCAGAGTGGTTAGTACTTGAGTGTGACGAGATAAAATTGATTGTCTCATATTTTATTAAGGAATTTATACCGCTGTCACAAGTTGCGTGCAGCTTGCCACACAGCTTCAAGAGAGACCTCTGTGTGCGATCGGGTCACTGATGTCTTGTTTAAAATTTCTGTTGAAGCTTTCCTGTAGTTAGAAACAGAAGCATTCACGTGCATGAAAAAGCAGACAACACCAGAACTGTGTGTGTGTTTGTCTGGGTGACTTCAGAGTTTGGAAGTTCCATGGAGAAACTAGTGATGTAGACTGTAGTAGCACTGCCAAGTCCAGAAGGTACTGACACAGTTCCACGGATCTGTGCAGATGCCTGGAGCGTTCTGTAGGTGCTCCCCTACCTCTCCCCTGTACACGACTCTTCTGGTGTTAGAAATGTGACATTTACAAAAGCAAAAAAGAAGCAAACCCAACAAAGCTTTCATCCCTCCTCCTCCGAACTTGCACGTTTATACAAAATACAATGAGATTCTTGCTCTCAGTACCTCATGGCACTTGGACCTGAAGGGTGGCGGGGCTGCTATGGCAGCTCAGGCTCCCACTGCCGTCAGGAGATCCTCAGAGGTATGAGCAGACTTTAGGAATTGCATTAAACACCACCTGGTCATGAGGATGGTTCTACATCTCTCCATTTGTTTATTGCCGTTTTGTTCTGTAGGTTGTTTTTTTTTTTTTTTTAAATTCCGTCTTCTCTTTTCCCTTTTTTTTTTTTTTTTTAAATTCAGTTTTCTCTTGTGCCTGTTTCTGTTGATTTATCCTCAACAATCCTCTGTCTGATGTGCGTGGAGGTTTGATTTGCAGACCTGTATATTTGGCCATGGTGTTTTAGGAGGTGACCATTTCAACTAGCTTTTTCATTTCTTTGTGGGGGTTACCACTTACCACAGATGTTAACTCACACTGAACTTTCAGCTGTTCCAGGTCATAGAGGTATTTGCCTAGAACAGTTAATTCTGAATGAGTGCACTTGGAAAATCCAATGCAACTGGGCAAAAAAACCCCATAACTAAAACCTGGGAAAGCTAATAATAACTAAACTAAAAAAACCCTACCTACCTAAGCAGTTAAATACGCTGCCTCCTTATGGGCAGTACTTTGAAATATTTTTTAAATGTAATTTTTGTATCTTTCTTCACAGAAGCTTCTACTGTCTGCTAGTAGGATTTGGCTTTTATGAGAGACAGGACCACAAAATAGTTAAACGTAAAGAACATATGTAAAAAACAACTTTGTACTTTTTCCCAGTGAGAGACAATTGTAGTATTACTCTGACTTCATGCTGATAAAAATATTGGTAAAAAGAATTTTTCTTAATCACCATATATTACTCACTTCAGATGAATCAGAGTTCATCTATTGGGAGAAGGACAGTGATTCTACTGATCAGTGCGATGGATCAGAAAAAGATGACAGCTCACTGGAGATATCGGACTCGGACTCCTGCACAAATCTTAATCCTCTGCCTGTCAAAGAGGAGAATGATGAGCTTTGTAAGGTGAGGAACTGCTTCAGGTTAAAAAAAAAAAAAGAAAAGCTTCTACTATAATTATGAAGTATATTCATATTTGATTGCATTTAATTTGGAGAAGCATGAGGTTCTTGCTTACCTCATGTCTCCAGAAGGAATTCTGTACGTAAGAATTCCAAGGCATTTTCTCTGACTGCCAAACCTCGAAACCAAGCACTGCCCCACATCTGGAGCTTGGTAGTGTGGTTGGTGAGTCACGGGAAGGCACCTCTGGAGATCGTCCAGTGGAACCCCTCTGCCCAGTGCAGGGTCAGCTGGGGCTGGGCGCTCAGGGATGTGTCCGGTGGGTTTCGAGTACCTCCAAGGATGGAGGCTCCACACAACCTCCCTGGGCAGCCTGTGCTGTTGCTCGCCCACCCTCGCAGTACGGAAGGGAGTTTGCTCTTGCATTTAAATGGAATTACTTGTATTTCCATGTGTGCGCAAAAAAGCGGTCAAGTGGGTAGGTTTCTTGGCAGAGATGTGGTGATCCGGATTCTCTGCACCCCTGGCTGCCTGTCGCAAGTTGAGGTGCACATTCCCCGTGATGTGGCGGGTGAGACCGTTACCTGCTTCTGTCTGGTGCTTTGGGACCCTGACTGTGTGAAACCCAGGTGTCGTGACCAGAGCGCGCTTCCGAGGGCGATGGCCGAGGTGAGGGGCTGACTGCAGGAGTCCCTGCACCGCTGACAGGTGATGAAGAGCTGGGGAAAGGGGCAGCAGTAAACACTGAATCACACCAGCTAATATTTGGTAGGGGGGTTGTGTTTGTTTTTACTGTAGAAAATGTGACGTTATGATAAAGAAGGCACGCTGTGTGAAGTGCAGAACAGATGGCAGAAACGTTGATCTTTAGTGCCTTCCAGCGAAATGACTTGTATTAAAAGACTGGAGATTTGGCGCTACGCTAGGCAAAGCTAGCGTTTAACCTCCGGTGCTGGAGGCTGGCTGGGCCCGCAAGCGCCCCGCAGCGAGCCCCCGGCCTG